GCATCACCATAAAATTGTACAATAAATCCTTCAATTTCAGCATTTCTATGAGCTAAAGAATTTATTATATTTATAATAACATCTAATTTAGACTTAAGAGATTCAACCATACTAACATCATCACCTTTAGCTATCTTGAAAAAAAAAAAAAAAAAAATTAAAACAATACTAGTTTAGAGGAGGGTACTTCGCAACCTCTAAAGTGCTTAGATGCCTTCAAAAAGAGAATTAATTCATTCTTTATCAAAAAGAATTAAGATCTAATATTGATAAGAGAACAAACTTGACAAACCATTATAGATACACTACATATGAGACCAAATAAGAAGCTGAACTAAAAAGTTTCAATATGAAAGCTAATAAGAACTTAATTAAATCAAATGAGTATAAGATCAAAATCAAGAAGGTGAGGTAGAGCTCTAAGAGATGTATTGTCAAGTCTGAGAATCTCCTCAGCCTTGATTCCTATATATGTATACTACGTATTAAGAAACTTTTCAAAAAGTTTCTATATTGCTTGAAGATGAGGCAATCTTAGGAAGCTTTATAAGAAGTTTCCATATTGCTTGAAGATGAAGCAATCTTAGGAAGCTTCTTGAACAACTTCCTTAATTTTCTTAATTTTTTTTAAAACTTATCAAAATATTCTTAGAATCTTTTAAAACCTTCTAAAATCTAATAGAATATTCTTAGAATATTCTTAGAATATTATTTTTGGATGTCCGTAATATCATCTCTATATAAATCTCTTTACAAAACACATGATTAAATGATTTAGCACAATTTTTATTTTCTTATGGTTAAACTTTCGGATTAGTTTCTTGAACAAAATTATCTAATTTTTTGAATATTTTTTGTGATAATTTCATGGATTCAACTAGTTTCATTTACTTTCAATCTCAACTCATATTAATTGATATACCAAAAGCTTCATAACTTATCATATTATACAATTATGCATATGTTAATCTTTTAAGATACTTCAATTAATTTAATCAAACAATTTTATTACAAAAAATTAATGCAGAGATTCCAAAAATGTTTGTTTATGTGTTTAAAATTTTACACATAAGTTTTAAAACAATTTATTTAATTAATTAATTTTCCTATTTATCTATTTCTGAAAATCACTTTTTTCAGAATGTTTTAATATTTGACATGATGTTTTTTCTAACTACCTTCTAAAATTACTCCTTATAAAGTTTTGAACAATTTTAAATTTTGACTTTTTAATATTTGAAAGAACAAATTAATCTACTTATGTACTTTCTATTCTGCAATTAACAATTTCTTCACATACTCTTTAATTTCAAATTAGTTTGCATTTGTATTTAAAATTTACAATTAATAATATCATACACTTGTGCAGAATTCTTTACATCCTAATTATTATTCTTTATAAAAATGAATGGATGAAGGAATATATACATATATTTGTTAGATTGTTTGATATCTTCAGGACCAACAGTAACCATTTCAACTCACTTGGTAGAATGGCATATAATGCTCTAACCATCTCAACATTAACAGTATCATTTTCAATAAAAAAGCAGCAAAACTAATTGCTTTTCTGGGGTGGTAGATTGTTCAGCCAGAAGCCAACAGCACCAGAATTGTAGACATGGACATTGAATACTAGAATTGCAGCACTGAGTCTCGTGGCTCCTGTTGTAGCCAGCTTTCGTAATGTACCAACAGAACATTTCTCTGATAGCGAAGACATCGAGCGGCCATCTGAAGCGATGCATGAAGGTGAAACTGAAATGGTGTTAAATTGCTCTCAAGGAGATCAACTTGCAGGTAGGCTGTTCAATTGTTTAACATAGTATCTTCTGTTGCTCCTGGTGTTCATAGTCAGCGGCTTAGTGCTACTTTGTACAACATCATTATTTTCTCCGCTTGCTTGAGGTCATCAATGCAATCCTAGACCTTGAGTGGTTTACTTCAATGAAAGGAACATATGTGTGTAACTTGTATATTTCATGCAGGTTCCGGATCAGACAGTGTTGGGCCGAATCCAGACGACAAGCAAGGCAACCAAGAGATTCTTCCCAAGACAATTGTCAATTACAATACTCAAAATGCAGACTGAAATGGCTTAGATATCCCAGTGGACGCAGGGATCAAAGACCTCGAAGTTAATGAGCATCAGAGAAAAGAAAGCTTCAAAGTGTACCGAGCTCGAAGGTACTTTGCCAGGAAAAGAACATTAACAGTCGGGAAGCCTTGTTGGAAAATGCCAGATTAAATGCGCCGAGGTCTTTCAAACGAGAGGAAGATGTCGATGGCAGCCGGAGAAAAAGATTAGATAGCAAAGGACGGGTCTCGTACGACTTGGACAAACCCGCAGGTGCACCAGCTATTCACCGATCTGCAATACTGTTAAAAATATGGATTATGAAGGAGTATTTCAAGTCTAGGGTGTGTTTAGTACTGGATGATTCTAACTGAAGAATTTTTTGACTGTGTAGAGTGGAAAGCGAAGAAAGATGAAGTTTCTGAAGCAGATGCTGAAACAGAGCATGCTCAGGAGATCGACACCGTCATCAAGAAGCCTCTAGCCTTACTAAATGAGAATGTGGTCATAACCAAAGAGCGACCTCGCAGCTTCGGGTCCATGTTACACGTTTCTCCACTCGATGAGATGCGCCTGGCTCCTTCTTCCGTATCCACTTTGGCTAATCCATCTTTCTCCAGCTCTCACCAAAATAAACTGCGGGAGGAGCAAGCTGAAGCCTCTTCCAGTGGAGGGAAGGGCACTCCCAGTAGAGAAGACGACACTGCATCATACGTACTCCTCCATTCGCCAACGCGAGATGACCAAATCCACTCCGCCGCTGGATCCTTAAGAAAGCCACAGGGAGACCCAAGCGTCAGAAGCATTACTGGTCTCGTCAGCGACAGTGGACACAACATCGACAAGAGAAAAGGGCTAGAAAAGAAGAAGAGCAGACCTCGAACGCCGCTGCGAAGCTGGATGGCCGAAGACCATCACAGCATATCCTCCAGCATTAAGTCTCCTGACTGCCAAAGCCACTTCCTACAACACATCATGTCCCTCATTAGAGGAAGCTCTAGCTCCAATTCCTCAAGCTCTAAAAATCAAGATACCATACCCAAGAGAGAGACCACCATCTGGAGCAGTTGCATGTACTTCTCTCACATCAGGTAGACCATTCATTTAGACGAATCCATGGAGGTGAGAACCATTTCAGGAATGAATATTAACTGGTCTGTGGATACCCGGACTTTTTTTTTTCTTTTTTTTTTTTTTTTTTGTGCCACGCAAAGGTATTCTTCATCTCTCTGCAAACAATGCCATGACCGGTTTGTAAACTCTTAATCTACTACAGGTGAATACGTTCCGGTACCGGTCCTTTTCCTCAAGAATAAATCAACCCTCCACGTCAAGCAAATCTTGCTAACCTTGAAGTGCTGTAAAGAAGCAATGGGGCGGAAGTGAAGGTCGTCTCGCATTCAAGCTGAAACTTGGATACGCATCCTGATCGGTCCAGATGAAGGTTTAAAACCATGATTTTTCGAGGGTCGCAAAGGGAGATCCTCGGTATATCTACACATATCTATGTCACATCTGCGGCAGGGTTCGATTCTCCATTTGTACAGAAACAGTTCGGTGTTCGTGATATATGAGTTCGAGGACAAGCACAAAACCACCGTCGACGAGAGTTTGCACACGGAATGAAGCGCACGTGCAAGAATAAGCTCTTCATTCCGATGATATTAGTTCACATACTCGCGAGGATTGTGAAGACAAGCGATGGAACCAGCAAACTGTGCAAATGTTGCGCACCCCTGCAGTCGGTAACTGTAATCCTTTCAACGCTGTTGAACAAATCCTTGATCTCACCCACGTCCTTCAGGACACAGATTACTGAGACAAGTATCCTCCTTCTCTTCCATGTTACAGTTTTCTGTGTACTTTTGTTTTACATGATCAATCTGTTTATTTGAAGAATTTTGAAGTGACGTTTTTTGCACAGCTTTCAGGTTACACAGAAAGGGGGATTCATTACACAGTTCTATAACAAGATTAGTGGCTGCATTTTGGGGTCTTCTTTGGATTATCCAAGGCAAATTTTACTCAATGTAACCTTTGTTTGAAGCAAGTGATTACTTTCCAATCAATTTATTTATTTATTTATTGCCTTTGGGATCTCAAAAATAATTCATGTTTATTGTTGGTTTTGGTTACAAGATATTATATAAGTCTAGCCACGAAAACCTTTTGGATCCCATTGAAGTAGGTTGAGTGGTCCAAAAATGATAGAAAAAAGAGGTTTAAATTATTGAGGTTTTTGTTTATTGTTTTATGATCTTACACCTAAAGAAAATAAGAGGATTTCTTGTTTTCTTCCCTTGAAGGTTATTTAGTCATTTGAAACTCATTTCGTGTAGATCTAGACTAAGAATAATTTTTATTTTTTTTTGAAACAGTATAAATTTCTTGAAGTATTATATTTTGGTTTTTTGTAAAAAAATCGTCATTTCCTCATTGTTGCCTACCTTCAGCAATTAACTAGTTAGTTGTATTATCCAATGTATATCTAGTTTATTGAAGAAACAGACACAAAATTATATGAAAAAATAAATAAATATAGCACAAAGTTGTTATATTAGGATTTGAAATATCTGCATACAATGAAGCCATTATTCTATAAAGAATATCTTGGAAAAAATAAAGACGTTTTTTTATATTCTTATTTAATATTCAAATAAGAAGTAAATTTAAAAAAAAAATTATCACGGGAAAAAAATTATTTATTAATTTATTTATCTGTTTTATCGTCTTTACTTATATTTTTACTTTTTGTTTCTTCTTGTTTTGGTCGTTTTTAGAAAAAAATATAAACTTTTTTTGTTTATTCTTTAAATTTTTATTTTAATTACTTATATATTTTTTACTTGATTAATATTATAATTTATTTTAATAGACTTTGGTTGTACACAATGTTGATTTTTGTTGGTTTTTCACAAGTACCATGCAAAGTTCTTCTTTTGAGTCCAAACTTTTGAGTCCTAAACTTTACGGAGTTTCTTCACGCCACAATCACTTGACGGACCACACACCACAATCAAACAGCCCTTTAATTCAGACTCGGCAGTCGAGTCTAGGGTTGTATTCTGGGCTCCCAGTAGGGATCGATTGTTGTGCTTGGGCCAATTTCCAGCTCATGATTGCAAGTGTTTTCGTAGTGTCCACGGTGTTTGTACAGCTAGCGCGGCGGAGACACTCCATCAAATTGCTTCCGAAGTATTCCACAGGCACAGAACACAATCCCTTCGTTGTTCTCCAGAGGTTTGAATCCCTCTTTCTATATAGTGCTTGACTTATGACTATGGTTAATGAATAGTCTGTTCTGACAAAGTTTGTGTCGCAGCCATGGAGGCTGGACTGTTTGATTTGCGCATCTTGATGAAGATTTTGCTGCTACTTTGGAGAACCCTCATCGCAGAGGAGGAATTCTGGAGCAGCTTCCAGTCCTCATTGAACAAAGCCAAAGCAACGACGACGACCATTGCATGAAGGGCCACGAGGATCAGACGACTCGAAGCCCTTGAATGCATACTCAAAAATCTAGCTACTGCTGTGTGAGTTCTTTTCATTTCTGACCCACCGAAAGATTGAATGCGAATGTTGCACACTCTCCCCCACAAGTTAATATTAAAAGACTTCTAGTTTCAGCAAAACCGTCTTATCGCATGTTGAAACATGCCCAGACCATTTTTATACGAGCCAAATGATGTTGGGCACTCGCTTGTAACTATATTTCTGACAGCAATGTGGTAAATTCCTTCAGTTTCAAGAAAGAAAAAAAATCAAATATACAAAAATTGTATTCTGGATTTTGTCGCAGTGTGCTCCTCTTTTGCCCTTCATGATCCTTCGTGGGAGCTCTTTACTTCCAGGTTTTCTATTTTATTTTATTTTATTCTTTTCTGAGACTTCCCTTGTTTCCTTCCAGCTTCATTCTCTGTTTGTTTTTTTCTTGCGGAAGGATACCCAGCTGCCATTGGGTAGCGCTGTTTTAGCCACTGCATAGCGCTGTTACGTTTTGATTATATGAACAATATTCAATGTAATAACCACCAAAACAAGTACAATTAGATGTCTTAGGCATTGTAGAATGAAATATTTAAACAGATTATTTTCTACTATTACATACAATTAGTCTTTTGCATGTTGAAGCAAGTCGCTAAAATTAAATCCAAATTTGTAAAGCACTTAAAAGCTTTTAAAAATATAAAACTTACTTTTTTGTTTTTCTTCTTAAAAACTATCAAATAAAATCAAAAAATTAAGCAAAATAGATTTGGATCAACGAAGAACCAAGGTTAAATATTAATTAGCAACTGAAACTTTGGTTCTATAATTTTATAGATTTGTTTTTGGCATTTACTAAAAACGTATAACTTAACAAAAAAAGTTGTAATTTTTTTTTCGAGAGAATTTTATTGTACAAAAATATTTTAAAATATTAATCAATTTATTTTTTTTATTTTTTATTTACCAATTCTAGAACATAAGAATAAGATTATTTATAAATTGAGATGCTAAATAAAAATATTCTGTTTATTAGATGGATGGTAAAAACAATTATAGATTAATAAAAAAGTAATAGCTTTTCAAAAAATAGGTCAAAAATAAACTTGTGATTGTAATATCATTTGATATATATATATATATATATATATATATATATCAAATTTTCATAAACTATTTTACTAAGCTTTAAACTAAGATTCAAAATGTGAATAATATGTATCAACTTTTTATAAAAATTATTCCAATTAAGGATTAATAATTAAATTTGGATTTTTAAAAATATGGAATAAAAATATATTAGCTTGGTCTTGTGCCGAATAAATTTGATAAAAAATTTAATTCAAAAAATATATTGAAATGCATTCAATTGGAATATTTTACTTACATAAGTAAAATTTACTTTATCATCTAATAACATGGGCAATCATTTAATAAATCTTAATGTAATTGATTTTTTTCTTATATATATATATATATATATATATATTTAAAAAATTATATAATAATTTTTTTTTTAACTTTCGTTTTTACAATATCTTGACTAAAACATTATCCAGCTATCAAAATATTTTACACTATTTTTTTTTTTTTTTTAATTTTACTTTTATATGTATCTTCTGCAATTGATCAAAGATAAACATCTAGACTGCTTTGTATATAATTGATAAAAATATTAATTATAATATGGTATGTTATTTTAATTAATAATTAATAATTTTTTATTATTTTTATTTTCTATTATTTATATTGTAGGATTAACAGCTTAGTACATAAAACTAAAAATAAAACATCTTCAAAAAAATTTAAATCTTCAATAATATTTAACTTTGAGTTTGCATATAAACTGTATCTAATTATTTGCATATAATATCATATTTTGGTATAAATTAGATGCAATTATATAATTAGAGGAAGTTTTTGGCATATAAAAATTTGTTTTTAATTACCAGCTAGATCAAATTGCTACTAATTAAGTTTATTTGTTTCTTAAAATATAGCATGTACATTATTTTTAGTTATGATGTGTTATACAATCAATTTTTTAGTAGATTCTTCTCATATCTTTGATACATATTTTTCTTAAGTAAAATATTAATTTAAAAAAACAAATAAATAAATTTAATGTAATTGATACAGTAAAACTTAGTGATAATTTCTTTGTTATAGAATCTATTATTAAAAATGTTTTTTTTCTATTAACTATCCATATCAAGATTATGAATCTATAAATTATTTTAAAAAGATAATATATGCATGTACAACTAAGAACTAGATTGAAATATTCTTTTCTTTTGGTGCATGATAAGAACTAATAAGCCTTATTAACTCCCAAGTTAATATGTAATAATAAATATAAATTATCCTTGCCAAAGAAAGTCTTTTTGAATAGCACAATGTTAATTCTTAATTTTTTTTTTTAATAAAAATAAAAATGAAAAAACTTAGAATTAAAAACATCCTTCAAAAAAAAAAAAAAAAAAAAAAAAAAAATTAAGATTCTTTTTTTATTAAATCTAATGTCTTATAATGATAATCCTCTCACTTAATTTTCTTTACATCTAATAAATCTAATTTGTTTTACTAAAATTGATATTTTAGAATTTATTAAAATTGATATCCTAAAATTCATTTGAGTTGATATATTGTGAGAATTAATATTATATCCTTAGAATGTTTTAATTGATATCCTAAAATATTCTAATTAATTGATTAGATTTTAAAATTGATGTTCTAAACCATTCTAGTTGATGACCTGCAAAACCTCCTTTGATACTATATCTACCAAACCAATGCTTCTTAATGTCCTTGCATACTACTGTTTTATAAACTAGTCTACTTCAAAATAACATCTTTCATCACGTCCATAACTCTAATAATATTACTAAATTTTAAAAAATAATATCACTTATCATCTTCTATTTAATATCTATTTGTTTTACTTTTTATAGAAAAATTGCTAAAAAATTTGTTTTTAAATAGTATATATTTATTAAATTTTTAGCTTTTAAAGTAAAGGAAAATAAAATAATCCCATAATTGTTTTTTACATGGAATTACATTAAATTCGTGTTTTAAATATCCTTTTGTTGACTTTTTTTTATAAAGAAATACAGTCACAACAAATTCTTTGCTATACATAATTTGTTAAATGTTTTTTAAAACATATTTTTTTAGACTCTTGAAAACTTTTTCTATCTTAAGTATAATCTTTTATCTTAAAATTATAAATATAAATAAATAATACTATTATTTTATTATAATATAGAATATATTTGAATCAAACATGAAATCATCATTATAATGCTATCAAATCCAAACTTATTCTAGACTTAAGTTTGAAAAATAGGATTTGAGATAAATAATTTTTAAATATAATTCTAGTTAAAGCTATTCTATTTAAAAATATTCTTTTTAATATTTCAACTAAATTCAAAATTATCTACATGTGATTCTAGCAACTTTAGCTATTAAGGACAGAAGTCCAAAAGTATATGTAAACATTTAATATAATCATGTGAAACTAAGAAGAAAAAAGGAACATCATAAATATTTTTATTTACAAAAATATAAGTTGATGAAGTTTAATATTTGTTAGATATTGTTTGCTACAAATTTTAATTTCTATTTATTATAACAATGGTTGGTAGATTAATTGTATATTGATAATATTTTATATTTAGAAAATACTAATTATTTTTTTTTATATATTATTAAAGCCTTTGTACTTACTTTTAAATATCACATTTAGAATATCTACCTCCAATAATTTTAAAGTACTAAAAGTTGAATCAAATGTTATAGTACCAAACATATACTATCTCAGTATTTATTTAAAATATATATACAGATACAGATATGTATATATTTATGTTGAGGATCTTTATTTTAGTTTTCATATTTTAAAAGATGTGGAAATTTAAATAATTTATTTATTTACATATAAATATTAATAATTAAAATATATCTCCTAAATATTGCTTTCTCATCCTATTAAAGGCAAAATTTACAAAAACGTTTAAATAGATATACATGATGAATAGATTTTAAATCTTTTATGTGCTTGTTTTATTCTATATTGCTAATAGTGTTAATAATTGTTCCTTGGTCTAAATAAATGTTATAAAACAATATTAAAAATCTATTTTAGTGTATCATTAAGATTCCTAGAGAGATTCTATATGTTTTCAATAACATTATATTTGCACTAATATACAATATATTCCAATTTATTTAATACTTTATTAAAGCAAAGAGTGTTTTTCTTCAAATTTGTAGGTATAATGTGTTTTAGCAAAAGTAGTAGTGATTATTTTATTTATTTTTGAAATATCGTTTATTTAAAAGATTTTTTTAAGTGAAGAACAAAAAATAATAAATCTTTACTGACTTTAGTAATTACAAATAATATAATATTAGATTAATTAAATTTTAATAATGATAATTATAGGACTTTAATAGTATAACTTGTCATAAGATCAATCAATCTTAATGTTACAAAATAATATCCAAATACTACCACCAAATGTAAATGTAAATTGCTAATTTTAAAGAGGTTAGAATTGACTTTTTACTGTTTTAATTTTTTTTTTGGATATATTTGGATAATATTTGGATTTTTATTTAAAATTATATATTTATAAAATAATATAAAACATCAAATATTTTACTTTGGTATATTACTTCACATCTTTAAATTATTAAAGTGCACAATAAATGTATTTTGTTGTACTTTTAGAATAGATAAAAATATTATTTAGATAAATAAATTTAAATTTTTTTTATCTTTTGATATAGAATTTAGTTAGAAACTTCATTAGAATCAAAATTAAATAACATATAAATAATAAAAGAATAAAATTCCACAAAATCTATATATATATATATATATATATATATATAGATATAGGTTTTATTTTTTTGACATGAAAAACAAATCTTATTTTATAAGTTTTCTTAGATAATTCTAAAAAAGAGTTAAGATTGTAGAATATGTAGTCTTTTAAAAATCATGTCATTTTTTAATTACTATAAATTTAAAGTAAAAAATAAAAGATAAATTCTTTAAATAATACTAAGCAATATATTTGGATTTTCTATAATAAAAATAGAAAATTTCTTGTGATGATTAGATTTTGTTTATACATAGAAAAGTATTGAATTCGAAATTATTAATTTTTATGTCTTTTACTTTATTTATTTAATTTTAAAAATCATAGCTATTTTTACAAAATCATTAAAAAAATGACGCAAATTTATAAAATGTTTTAAACAAAGATAAAAAAATGTTGAATTTGACTAAAAAAATCAATATCTTAACTCAATTTTTAAAGATTATGTAAATTAAATTATAATTTTAATATATTAAATTATAATTTTAAAGATAAATTAGTTAAAAAAATATACCATCTTTTTATTTTATAACATTTGATAGTTGTAAAAAACATAAAACATACAAATGTAGAAAAAAAATTTAATCACAATATTTTAATCTTATTGATAATTATACAAACTACATCCTCTTTTTTATACATAAATTAAAATTCTATTAGAAATGCATCCAAATTATTAAACATCAGATCTGGTTGCTCCCAAATATTAAGAAAATATAGATAAAGTTTTTCTTGTAAGTAATAATTCAAATAATTTGATTGAAATGTTGGAATTGCATAATTTTATTTTAGAGTTCATTAAAAATGTTACTTGATTGATGAATCTTTAAAACTTAGACTTGCTATTACTAGATTTTAAAGAATATCAAAATTTAACAAGATATGTGTTTATATATATGCATAAATATATATATATATATATATATATATATGTATATATATATATATATATATATATGTATATACATATATATAATTCAGTAATAATAGAGTCATTTATAGTAGATTATTTGTAAAGAATATTTTTCCATTTCTATATCTTGAAGACTGATAATTCTAATTATTATTTTTAGAAGTAAAAATAATTATTGAAGTTATTTTTTTATAGATTTATTCTATGAATGTTTTTAATTATATCAATAAAAATTAAAAGTTAAAATTTTGAGTATTAAAAAATTGTATGAAAAAAAAAGATAAAAAAAAAGATAAATTGAAATTCTACATCAATTTAGAAGAAAACAACCTACAACTTTTAAAGTGATTTAATACTTTAAATATTTGATTTATATATTATTATAAAAATATCTAAAAAAAATCAATCTTTGATATTGTAATTATAAAAGACATAAATCTAAAGATACTAATATATTTTTTATATATTAAGTTGTTAATCTTTGTACTTTACTTAGTTCTATGAAGTGTTCTAATTTTTTATTCAAATATTAATAAATATTCAAATTTTCATTATTAATAATATATAAAAATAAAATTTTAAATTCTATTTGCAATATGGCTTCTTTTCTATAATCCAATTTCCTAATTGCAAAGATAAGAAAACTATTGTTAATCCTCTTGGTTTTATGTGTCTAAATGATAAGGTAGAAGACATGATATTATAAGTGGTATTATAAATTTTTAGAATTTAATAAGTAATGTATTCTACAAATATCTAGATAGTTGTTTTGTATGTTATATAGATGATATTCTTATCTATTCCAAGAATATAGAAGAATATAAAAAAAATATTTACATTACAACAAAAAAAACTTATAAATTTAGAATTATATGCCAAGATTGTAGAATTTATATTTCACATAATTTAATTAGAGGTATTAGAACATATTACTTCAAATCATAACTTGTAAATAGATTCTAAGAGGATTAAAACTTTGATAGATTGAACAGCTCTAAGAACTATATGTGATGACTAATGCTTTTGGAGATTTACAAACTATTACTTAATATTTATTAAGAACTTCTTTGAAGTCGTTGTTTTTCTTATATAAGATAAAACTTTCATTATATGAGATTTTAGCTTTGCTTATATTTTAGTGATGATTCTATTGATATTACATAAAGCATAATTATTATTATATTCTTGATTGCTTATATGATAGCTCTAGTTTCAACAAAAATAAGGTGAGATGATTTATTAATTTATGTATTTAAACTTTAACATTATTTTTTACAGATTTTAATCAATATCTAAAATATGTAGCATGAGAGTAGATGCAACTAAAAAACCTTATAATTGTGGTACTAAAGAAGTTTCTTAGAAAGAAAAACAAGCTCTATATTACTATATATAATTAATATACTATAATAATTAGCTTTTTTAGTGTATAAGAAGCTAATTTATATTTAAAAAGTAATTGATGACTGAAGCAAGTTTATTCTAATATAATAAAAATAGACAACAACTACCTATAAAAAATCATCAAAAATTAAAATTTTAATTATATATAAATTATTTTTGAAATAAATTAAATAAAAATACCAAAGATATTTTAAAAAATATGAATAAATTAATATAAAATAAAATAAAATAAATATAAACTAAAGAAGAAAAATACACATCTATAATAATACAAAAGGCCTCAAAAAAAATATTTTCAAGTAAGAATGCAACAACCAAACAAAATAAAAAACTTTAAAATTAACAAAGCTAAAAAAAATTAAATTCATCATAAATATCATAGGTATATATATTTATTCCAATAATTATCTAAATATTTAGATAGAAGTAAATAAAGATAGATTAATTTCATAATATCTTTTAGAAAAGCTTTTTTAAAGCTTCATAGATGTTGTTTTGACTTCACATGTATTTTTAATTGATTGATAATTTAAAAACTTGGTCAACAAGTTAATCATATACTATACGTATTAATAGTTTACAAAATAAGCTAATTATATAGTATACATATAAAAAACTTGCCTTACGAGTTAAGTGATGTATTTAACAAAGTCAACACATGTTAGAGATTCTATAGAATATTGTTACATAGCTCTTAATTAGAGAGTATATATGGAGACAAGAGTGAAGCCTTCTTCACTCTTATCAATGCCTTTCTAGTCTTTAGTCTTCTTTCAAGACTTTTTAGTCTTCTTATCTTTAGCAATAGCTATTCTAGTTCAATATATTATTATCTTTAAGTGATTTTTTAGTCTTTTCAAGTGACACAAGAGTGTATTGGATTTTTTTTTTTTTTTTTTTTTTTTTTTTTTTTTATATTAAGATACATGTCTTTTATAGTTTGACAAGAGTATTAACTTATTATTTTTTTCTTGTTTTAGAAGTGAGTGAATTATTCTATTTTTATCTTTATATTTTAAAGATTACAGACTATCCACCTTTAAAAAAATAGTTTAATTTTCTAACATTGATTATTTTCTTGAAGATAGTGAATTATCTTTCTTTGTAGAAATTTTCATTTAATATTAGAGGTTGTAGATTACCTTCCTCTAATTTAACTTTTTGAAGTTATTTGAGTTATCTATAGAAGAAAAGATTATTAATGCTACTCTCAATAGAAGTAAGAATAGATTTGCAATTATTGCAAATCTCTACAAGCTTGTTAATACTCTAAAAGTAGAAATATCATATATTTTTAATGTGAATCATAGAATTACTATTCCTATACATATGGAAGAAGTCCAAAGTCTATGCCAATAAGTCATATAGTTAAAGGAAGCAAATAGATTAGTCTCACAACCAAATCCAAGAAGTCTCACTTTTATAAACACAAGAGATGCAAAGATTAGTATGTCTGAGAAGTTTGATGGAACAAGATCAAAATTTTGAAGATTTTTGCAAGAAGTTAAGCTCTATTTGAAGTTGCATCCTTTCTAATATTCCAATGGATTTACTTAAGTTGGATTCATAGGCACGATCTTATTAAGAAGTGCTCTTTCTTGATTTACTCCTTTGATAGAAAAAAATTTACAACTATTCTATGATTTGAATTCATTCTTGGAAGTATTTACAACTACATTTGGAAGAAGTGATTAAAATAAGATAATACAAAATAAGTTCATATGACTGCAATAAAAATCACATTTAGTCACCATATATGTTGTTGAATTCCAAAATCTTACTTGTGATATAGATTGAAATAAAAAATCCCTTATTAATCAATTTCTATATGGATTAAAAGATAATATCAAAGATTTATTATTGACAATATTGAGAACAAATTTATTAAATCAACTTATTGCTCAAGCTATTGCATACAATAATTGACTCTTTCAAAGATAATAAGAACAAAGATTTCATTAAATAAGTATAAGTAAAGCCATATCAACACCTTTTAAGTTTGCAAAAGCTTATTTTTTTAGACCAAAGTCTATACAAATTAATACAATATATTTTAAACTTCTTGCTGAACAAAAAAAGATTTATTGTTGTCAAGAAGGTTTGTGCTTATATTATGGAGAATCCAAGTATATTGCTCAATATTGTCCTAAGAAGCAATTCAATCACAAATTGAGGAGCATGATTGCCAAAGAAGGTGATGTGTTGATAAACAAGTTTTTTCAACTACAATAAGGACCATGCAGTTGGAATCTTACATAATACTTAATACAAGTCTTATTCTCTTCTAAGAGCTCTACAACCAAACACAACACATGCATGCACATAGAAATGTCTCCTTATCCACATTCAACCTTCCAAAGCATTGTGCAAGGAACAAACCAAATATAGTTTGAAAAGAGCGACTCCTCTAAACAATAAACGGATACAACTGGTGAGGAGTTTTGAGAGGGGTGTCAGGTAGGATGCATGTTTGTGGAGATGGGAGTATAATGGAGGTGTCTGATGAAAATATGGAGAAGCTCAGAAACGTTGGGAAGAACGTTGGCAGAGGTCCGGCGAATTTGCAAAATGTCCGAGAGCCATAGTTTTCGCCAGGGCGCTAGGAGGCTAGGGCGTTAGAAGGAGGGGTCGAACCTTCGACTGTGTGGTTAACAGCCATACGCTCTAACCAACTGAGCTATTCCAGCTGCTTAAACAGTATCTTCTTGAATTAGAAAATAATAATACTTAGGTCCTGGCCGCGGCAAGGTACAATCTTACCACGAGTTCTCCAGTGCCCGTACTTATAATGTACTTCACGACCAAGGATTTCCGTAAAGGCGCCATATTCTACGATATTACAACCTAAGTTACTATTAATCCTAAAATTGGTGACAAAAAAGAACATTAGCCTTTTAACAAAGTCGTGTTTGAAAAGAACAACATGAAAAGCAGTTACCATGATATATCACAATTTCTACATGTTCTTGTTCTGATTTATGTCATTAAAAAGTTTGTAGAATCAATAGTTCGGTCTGTCACAAAGTTAAATCAAAATCCGATAGTTTTAAGTCGGTGATGAGTGAGTGATGTAGCACTGGGGTTGCTTCTTCTTCTTACAAAATTGGATTCCGACCCTATCACCACTTCAGCTGATGAGCTTCCGAGAGTGAGTGAGTGAGTGAGTATGTCTGGTGATGAATTTTCTTGTATGAGTGGAATTATTTCACTTTGTTACAATCCTCTCTCTTTGGGAAGCACTATCTATGGATTCTTAGTACAGAACTTCCGGAATTGGTTTAACGTGCCCTAATTGAATAACTGGAATCGGGGTCTTGAGGTAGTCTCCACAGCATGGTCTAAATAAGTACAAGTCAAATGTAAAGTATCTTAGGCCCACAAATGAGCATGTTGTCTGCCTCAGTGGGAGATGAGAATAGTCTTAGCGCCGGGGAATAATTTTAGGAATAAGTTTCTTCATGAAGCAAATGACCCACTTAGCAGCCATCTGTCTTAACACGGGTTGCGCAGTTATTGGCGAAATGCATTCTGGCTCGCCTTTGGCAGTGGAAATAGTATCCTGGCTTAAACCCCAGGAAAAAGATTATAGTGGGTAGAGTTGTTCGAATTTGTTGGGTTTTCCGAGAGGAGAGTCTAAATTGTTGTGGATCTTTGAGAATCGCCTGCGTGATGGTTTTGCTGGTTTGGTAATGCTCGCGAAGACATGGTTGTTGACAGACAAGTAGCCATCGTTGTGTTCGTGCAATTTTACAGACACTTCCGGTTGGATTAAACGAGACGGCTTTGTAAAGATCGATTTTTGGGGGTGAGAATTATGGGCAGAGGGAACGATGTCGAGGCAGGGACGATGTCGCAGGGGAACACAAGCCTTTGGAAAGTGCATGCAGCATTATTGGTGGCGCAACTGTTGTCAGGAGGGTACTATGTTGTAACAAAAGTTGCGCTTGTGCATGGAATGAACCGGATTGTGCTGAGCCTATACCGCGACGTTATTGCACTTTTGATCCTGTTTCCTGCTGCTCTTATCATTGAAAGGTTAGTGCCACAACTTGCTCCTAGTGTATTATACTGAATCTACTTTTAAAAGATTAAAACATCAACCAATAAAACAATCGATATATGAATTAAATGATGGACTGGCATTGATGATTGTACTTAGTGCTTTATCCTCTTCGCTGAATTTAGGTCAATTGGACTGCAGTTATGGTTTTTCGATCTAGTGTTATCGTACTAGCCAAATTATGGTTATCATAGACTTATCTTCTCCCCAAATTTCATGTGGTCTAGTGTCTGTCATTGTCTTGATTCCATGTACAGTTCTCCATTTCACATTCTGTACTCTACTCTCTTGTTTGTTGATTCTTTTGAAAGAATAAGGATCCAACTTGCGAGGTCTGATCCAGTTGCGTTGACAATACTCCTGTGCAGATATAACCCCTTCAAGCTTTCATGGAGGGTAGTTGCCAGACTTTTCCTGCTGGGATTGATTGGGTAAGTAAACAAAATGTCTATTGCTCCACTCCATTCAAAGAAATGGATTTTAGACTTTTGGCTTGGTAAGCGATTGTGGCAAACACTCAAGGAATATGTGTCTTTCAGAATCTTTGGAAGTCAGTTCTTATTATTCATCGGCATTGAGCGGACCACTGCAGAGTTTTCTGCGGCGCTTCAGACTTCAGTTCCCGTCCTCACGGCTGGCATTGCGATTCTGTTGGGGTGAGTGTAAGAAGTGTGCAGCCACTATGTATGGTTTTTTGGGAGGATCTTTCTGGATTGTAATGCTCCAATTGCTGGCAGATTCGAAGGATGAAAACTTTGTAGTGATACTATTGAAGTGGAGTACAAAATGTATTCTTTCCCGTAGAGTTTCCACTGGATTTCAATTCAATTTTCAGTACAACCATGAACTTTGTATGTGATTCAATTCTTTCACTAGTAAAATATCCGGCGGATAGCCTGTGTCTTTTTATCATTGACAAGTTGCACGAGAAGATGTAGTTTGCTGAATTTGGATGCTATCGAGTCTTCCTAAGCCATGGTAATAATTATCTATTTACTTAATCTGCAGAAAGACGGCATGTATTACTTATTCACGAATAAGAGAAAACGATCACCGATCCAATTGAATGTACGAGACTGATAGATGAGTTTTCTGTGGCATACAGGGTAGAGAGACTGCTTCTGCAGAGGAGAGACGGTCGAGCAAAATTAGCAGGAATCACTTTGTGCTGTGCAGGTGCAATATTCATGACATTCTACAAAGGACCCCCTGTTCTGGGTTGGTTCAACCCAAACACACTAGAAGCTGCACTTGAACCTGATTCCATACATGTCAAATTAGAACTATATGGCAGCCATTGGAATTGGTTTGAAATTGATGGGTGGAAGCTCGGAGCTATTTGTTTGATTGGAAATTGCCTATGTATGGCAATTTTCATCAACCTGCAGGTGCTGATTGATTCTTGGGACGAGTTACATACCTCTAAACATTGTTAATCATTTACATCCTGTTAAGAAAAAAATTGGTACTCTCCATGACGTGCTAAGTAATTTTGATGATCGAAGGACCTGGATCGCTTGTTGTGATGTGTGGCTACATAACCATGTACGAATGCTGTTTGTGTGCAGGCATCTTTGCTGAAGCAATTTCCAGCACCAATTTCAGTGGTTGCTTATTCTTATTTTTTCGGGGCAATAATCATGGGCAGTGCAAGCTACTTTCTAGTCCATGACTCCTCTGCCTGGATTCTGCGCTGGGATATTGACCTATTAGCTGTCTTGTACAACGTAAGTCACTGACCTGCTCTTTCCACAGTTAACCTTAAAATTTTTGTGTCATGTTAAACTTTCTAATGCTTCATCCAAACGCTCTGTTTACGGCACCTGAAACCGCTGTTTTATTGGTTACTGAGCTTGGTGCAAGAAACAGATAAATTTTCAACTTTTGCTCTATGCAGGGGATAATCTCATCTGCCTTGTATTTTGCTCTCATGACTTGGGCACTCTCCAAAGTGGGTCCTGTCTTCGTCGCCAGCTACATCCCCTTGCAACCGATTTCTTCAGCACTGCTTGCACTCATCTTTTTGAAAACCATCGTGTATTTGGGAAGGTATGTGCTTTATCTCCTCAAAGGCTTCATATTATACAAAAACTGAATGCTTTCGATTTTTCCTGTTATTAGATCGAATATGTGTAGATGGATTTAACTTTACGACCTTCTTTGGGCATGAATTTAGGCTCTTTTTGCGGCTGGAGGCTTTGGTGTTCTAATGCCTTGCAGCCACTGTTTTCATATAATCTCACATTCTTTGCTTGCCGATGGATGGGTGACTCGAGCAGTGTGTTGGGGACACTCTTGATCATTCTAGGTTTGTTGCTGGTCTCTTGGGCTCGCGAAGAGGCAATGAGGTTAGCTGCCCTCTCGGCCATTGTGGAGCGCAGTAATCGATTGCCTAAAGCTACAGCAGAAGCTCTTGTTCCAGGACTCAGGGCACCCCTTCTCCAGGTGAAGAATTTTCTACTGCTATTGTCTGATCCTTGTTTATGAAGTTTGTCCACACTTAGTAATGGCTCTTGTGTTATTCTGTTTTTCTTCTTTCATTTTTTCATCATTCTCCCTTTCTTTTCGCCCATCTTTTTCTTTACTTCTCTTTTCCATTCCTTCACCCTTTTTCTTTTTCTTTAACTTAAACAGCCCCCGGAGCTTTTGATACTGATTTTGATATTTGTACGTGCACAAATTAATGTTCAGGGTGGATTGTATTTTATCTGACTTGCCGCCCTTCTGCAGGTCTAACCTAACTCCAACATACCAGAATCATCAGGACAAGCATTTTTAATTCTGCGAGAGCAGTGACTCGGCAATTTGCTTTCCAGATTGCTAAAGCTCTTTTCCATGAATGCCTTCAGTTTGTAGGTACAGTTCAAGCCAGAATAATGGTCTCAGGTCAATCTCAAATTTTCAGTTTGAGTGTACACCACTAGAATTGTTGTAGAAATTACCACTTTAGGAGATGGAAGTATAATACTAGATGGTTGATTCAGATGCTTCTAAGAAGCTTCAGTAGAGGGAATTGTTGGATGTTCAAGCAGGTTTTAAAAATTAGAAATGTTGAGATTGTAGGATACATGGGTATCAGCGTTATTTTTCTAGGTTTGGGAGTTTACTCCAAGAGCTTGCCAGATCTGCTACATTTGATCCAGGTCTCTCTGTCCGTAGATATAAAATTTGTTAGTATATGTTATTTCATTTCTTTTCAACCTGAATGATTATTGAGGGTGAGATATTGCATATGCTCTTGGAAAAAACACGATATGTGCTGCGTCGAGTATCTTTGCAGCGAGTAATGAATATCAACAACCTTGCTCAACATTATCTCAATAATTTCATCCATATTAACATTGTGCATGCTGTTACTTCGGTCACATGTCTGAAGCATCATACATTTTGTACAAATGCATGTGTTGATTACGAACACAGAATGGGCGTCACATGCGTTGTGAAATTCAGGATGCTTTGAATACCGACATTGGAAGCTCAAAGTTTGAGAACAAACAATGTCTCAAAATTATTTTTTAGAATTTTCAGGGACACCTCTCAAATTTGAGGATAAAAATCTGCATGTTTGTAACCATAAAGTGTAGATGAACACTACACTGACTTTGGCAGCAACTAATTTACAAAGAGAAGCATATGATGTAGGACCTCATGTCATCAGAGCATGAGCCTTCACGAATCCCCAACTCATGTAGTAGGACCCCACGTCAATCTCTTCACAAAACCTACGCACGTCAGACACATGTGGTGCACGACCTGATAGTCAGGAGAGGAAATTGCTTCAGCTTCGACTCCCGTCACTCAGTTTATCTACATTCTGGTATTAGCTCCAACTTTTGTAGTAGTAACAAGGGCGGTATCAGCTCTTGGACTTCGAATGCTTGACAAGCCAATCGATAACAATATCAATATTGGTAGAATTTTTGCATGAAATGGCGTAGCAAGCAACCTCCCTATCTGTAAGTCCGGAAAGCTCCCTGTGTCATCATCCAAAGATAGCTTTGTCAGAATTACACGCTTTGATACAAGGTGCAGATTCTAATGCGATCAGGTGTACTGTGCAGAACAAACAGAACTATAGAACTATACTCAAATACTACATCAAAATCGTCCACAAGATTGTACCGTTGACATGCTATACATGAATCGCTTGCAACTTCACTCGAATAAGCTACGAAAACAAGAGGACAAAACATAACGTACATCTGTTCAATTAGCGCCTTCTTAGTAAGTGCTTCAAGCTTATCGATTTTGTTGCCCAGTACAAGCAAGGGAATTCCATGAAGTGAAGGCTTGTTCAACAAGTCGTGCAGCTCATTCTTGGAGATGGCCACATTCTCTCTGTCCGCTGCGTCCACGACATACCTGAAGAAGTTACCAGGACAGCTCAACGCTTAAAATCTGTAAGTAGACATTCACATCTCAGGCGGCCGACAAGGTGCTTGAGCAACTGCTTAACTTTTTAAGTTCTCCCAGACAAAGATCAAAACTGTGTCGCGTATACAAGTTCTTACACAATTACAGAAACACCACGACAATATCGCTCCCACATGCTTCGGAAACGAGGTTGACCACCGAGATCCCAAAGCTTGATGGTTACACTGCCTTTCGTCACCTTACGCATGTTGAACCCCACCTGCATTATGTCGAAAAACTAATTAAAATCAACAAGGCAACCTTGAACCCACTCTTCTAAGAATTGAAATTAAATTAAAAAGAATCAAGTATAAGAGTACAAAGAGAATAATCTGGAGAAGACAACATACCGTGGGTATCATGTCTTCAGTGAAGCCACCGGACTGCATGGCAGCAGGAAAAGAAAAAGAAAACATTAAAATTAGAACGTGTACCAATTCTAAGAACTCGGGAACTTATATATTGTCAGCTAAACAATCGGTAAAGCCACCTGTTGTACCAACGCTAAACTTGTTTAATGTTCAAAACAAAACGCTTGAAGGAAATAATGTTCTATTGTACGAGATAGTAATGAAGATATCAAGCCGCCTAAATTGTATTGTTTATCTAAACTATTAGGTCTCTTCCAATTTGATTGTTTACAACTCCACTACCAAAGTTATGACTGAATGAGGGTGAGAAACCGAGAAACTTCTATCAGCAACCATGAAAGGTAAGAATGAAAAATAGCCCTGCGCGGATTTCTCACGTCATCAGGTAGTAGTGCATTTTATGATTCATTTTGTTGCTCTATCAACAAGGACTGTCAAGCTCATTAAATGTAGCCTAAAGAACCTAGAGTATTTACAGATTGATCGCGAAGATAGACTTGCGTGATCCTTGTGCTGCTAACATTAAGAGCCCCACAAACATTGTATGAACAAGCCCAAATACAAACAGGAGCACACAGAAACAGAATGGGTTGGAAGCACGAACCGCAATGACATTGACGAGAGAGGTTTTTCCGGCGTTATGCAGCCCTATCAAAGACAGCTCCATCTCTTGTTTGAAAAAGAGACTGCACAGGATGAGAACCGTATAAGTACAGAGCCTGCATCTTCGAGCAACCAAACCGATACCAATGCCCGCATGTCCTCTGATTCGAAGGCGTCAAACTCACAGCACAAAACAACATAACAAGAAAAATTATAAAATTGTGTAATTGAATCTTAATCGCATGGACAGACAGAAATTCAGTAACTACCTGCGGAGCCAGTTGAGGAAGTAGTCCCATATTCCCATCGCGATTCAGCAATCGACACCCCCTCAATCGAACGAATTTGCACCCTAGATTGAGAAACACTCCCGCACGCTATCGAGAACGAATTTATCACCAACACACGCTTTCCTAACGTGCGCCCGAATTAGACCGAGCCTCGCTTCAACAGCAACTCGAACTCATCAAACCATCGCACCCGTCACAAAGACCCTTCCCTCATCCAACCTCCGCGATTGCAACCAGTCCCAGCAGTAAAAAAAAAAAAAAAAAAAAAAAAAAAAAAAAAAAAAACAAGCCAACCTATCAACAACAGCCTTAGTAACGGAATCCCTCCAGACACCACTTCCGATCGAGCAATCCTCAAAGCTCGGGAGAGCGCATCTCCCGAAACGTGAGCAAATCAAAGCAGACACCAGCCGGCAGTGAGCTAGGAAGAATCCGGCGAAATCCAATATGTGAGACAACCGAGGAATGAAATGTCGAAGTAAAAGTCCTGGTAAGTGTAGCAATTTGTGCAGCGAGCGAGCGAGCGAGCAAAGGAAGCTCCGGCGGAATTTGTAAAACACGCAACTAAAGACTCGTTCCTCCACTTGGAAATAAAATAGCAAACGAGGAGCTGGGCGTCATTTCCACGGAAGCAAACGATCCGTCTTGAAGGCCTGGCAGGTCGGGCCGGGCCGGGCCGGGCCGATTGGCAGGGGCGAGCAGAAGAACGGGTCGCTCGTGCCGACGTGGCACGAAGTCTGTGGCCATTTACTACGCCATGTCCTAATAAACTAAACGAATCGTTTTTGGGGGTGAGGTAGATATTCGTTTATTTGTTTATTTATTTATGAAGAATTGTTTACAGTATTTAATTCATACCCTTGATTCTTCTCTTTGTGAAATAGAGCTGTATCATGCCTTTTTCACTTGCCGTTATGTGACCTTCCTGTAGATCTCTCCAATAGTAGAGATTTCATTCATTTTTATAACTGTTGTTTGCTTGTCATGATTTTCCTCTAATGGCTCAACTAAAGTATGTATTTTCAATTCTACGTTGGTTGGTATATTAAATCTTATATCAGGCTTTTAAACAACCAGATGTTCATTGATTGTTGAATGTATGTGTGTTTATTTATATATGAATATGTGCATAAAATATTAGTCAAGATTTTCTTTCTTTGGATAAGAAATATATTTTTTTTGGACTTCAATATTACTCTATATTAGAAGAATAAAATGAAATAATGAACTTCAGAGAAACTCAAGTTAATATTCTCTTGGATTGGAAACATCCCCATGGGAACTCTAAATAAGATTCTTGCCTAAATGTATAGCAGCGTAGCAAGCAACACATCTGTGTCACAAAATAAAGAAGAAGAAAAAAACTATGCATAACATATGCATACGAGCCACAAGTTTTTATACAGTAATATGAAGCAGTCCGTGATCGCTCCTGCGTAATACAATGTAATATTTTTGGCACGTACATTACAACTGGATTGAATTGCGAGAGAATTGGCACTTCCACTTAAAGCTTGATTCAAGTTGCATTGCGATTTTCTGGCTCAGTATCCACAAACGAATGGCTTTCCCAGAGTCGATTTCCGAACGCACTTGCGACCTGACAAAGTTCTCAGACTGCAATTTAGTTCTCTGGCTGAAAGAGTAGACACCCTAGCCACCGATCCAGTATGCATCAGTAGGGACTTTAAGATAGACGTCCAGTACACTTCCTGCAGCGGACAAGCAGAGCGAGTGGATCCATCATTTCGCTTCGATCGCAATAGCAAAGCTCTGTTACTGTGAGCAGCGATTGCAGCAACCCTGTTTCTTTTCTTTTCTTTTCTTTTCATTTCTTATCCCCGTGTATGAGAACAAACCAGCCTTCGGTCGACCTACATAAAATCTTTGTCGTCGAAGCACAGCACTTGTAGCGTAAAGCTTCACGAGGCTCCGTACCAGCAGGCATTCACTCAAAGAGTCCACTAACCTTATCCGGGACCACCAAAACAACGCAATGGACCACCAAAACAACGCCAAGTGCCGCGGCGTGGGCATCCAGGAACCTGCCCAGACACTATTCCATCGCGCACATCGATCGTCTCTGGACCACTCCCGGTGCGATTCCAGCTAGAACAGTTCCGATCGGTCACTAAGTTGGCGCCCTAACATCCCTGTAGAATCGCGTACTTTTATGGCCGGTTGGTCGGTGGAATCTTTGCAGCTTTGGACCCACCGCAACACACCAATCCCTAGAAGCGCAATTAGGCCGGTCGAGTGAGCCAAGGTAACCTCCCCCTCACCGCATGAAGGCGGTACCTCATCTGACCGCCCCCCCCCTGCTGCTAACTTACGCCGAATACAAGTACTACTGCTACTTCGCAACGGAACACATTCAAGTGCTGCAGGCTTGAGAGCGTGGGCGCACCTGCCTCACAAGTCCATGAGATCCAAATCGGAAACGGGAACGTCATGGGGGGTGTGTGTTGCAATCACTTCAATGTCCACGTCGGCATCCACGTGGGTAATACTTTCTCTGAGCTGGATTCTGCCTCCACGTCGGTAGTATTTCCACGTCAGCGCTGCTGTCAGCTGTGCTTCCACGGATTTCCTCGCCGCTTGCACAGTTCTCAATTTTTTTCTATCGTGTATATTTGCACTAATTTTCCTTTTATTTTTATCTTTTCTCTGTTTCTAATGTTACTTGTTGATGCATTTTAAATGATTGGGTGCAACTAGATGGCAAACAAGACTTCATAGCTTGGATTCAGGATTTGGACGTAGGATATTAAATTTGAACACCATGTTGCTTTTAAAAATAATGTGGTAATAATTATATGAGAAATATTGTACGTGAATTATGAATGCCTATTAGGTGACTTGAGATTAAATGTGGTCTTCTACATATGTCGAGAAGATTTATATATATATATATGCATTTATATTAAAATCAATGACTAAACTGTGATTCTAGTTTGTATGTGCTATTTTCTTCAAAACACACAAAAATTTGAATACATGTCTTTTAGTCAGATTTTTTTCAATGATAAAAAAATAAAATTAAAGGCACGTACCATCGTTAATAATGGTATTATTCCTTTAATATCTAACAACTTGAATTTATATGTATATGTATATATATATATATATATATATTTATTATCTCTCTGACTTCTTCATTCCATTCTAATAAAATATATCAATAGATTCAGATGTAAAAAATCATCTAAATTTTTATAGTATAAATGCTATTATAATAAAAAAATATTTATCATTTTTTATTGGCATTTTATTTAAGAAAAAAAGAAAAAGAAAAGGTGAGTATCTAAGAAGTCTTCAATTTTGAGGTTAAGTAATGAGACCATGAAAACAAGTAAAACCCACAAGTGATCTATACATTCTAATTACAGAACTTTAAACTGAATTAAAAACTTATGTAATATGGTAGACTTGATAAAAACAACATTTTATTTAAAAAAAAAATTATAATCTGCAGCAATAATTTACATTGATCTGTATTTGTTTGAAGAAACTACCACACTTTTAACAATACATTTTTCATTTGTCTAAAATCTTACATTTCTATTCATTTTTTTTTTTACAAAAATTCAAGTTAGAGCTCAAAGCATGGAACACCAAATCTTACACTAAGTTTTTATCGTAAATATTGTCCGAATATCCATGTAACAAGTATCTATTTAATGGTTTTTTGGAAGGTTTTTTTAAGAAATTTGATTGAGAATAATAACAATAATAATAACAATAGATATGATAGTTCATTAATTTGGAAATTATTAGAAGTTTAGACACCGGATTACACTTTTCTTTGTTGTACAAAATATACAATATTGAGGTTATTTTTATTCTTTTATTCTTTAATGGCATGATTGTAATTCTGAATGACTTGGCTTTTCCAACCGATCTAAGTTACAATTTCATTTTAAAATAAATTCTTTACCTTAAATATAACCGAATGTCTTGCTGGTTATTTTTCTTTATGAATGCTTTATCTGAATTTCTTAGGTTTTATATCTTAACAAGTAACTTTTGATAATCTTTTATATGCTTAACAATGTTTACTTTTATCCTGTAACCGGGTATTTTGACAGTGATTCAATAAAGTATTAGTTAATGTGTAACTGTAGTAAATGTATAAAATTTTAAACAGATACAGGAAACATTAATATATAAAAAATTAAATAGACATATAATATGGATTAATTATGCTGTAAAATTTTGACAAATGAAACATAAATTTTTTAATCTGTATTATGATCTTTTTATCATTCACAACCTGCATGAAAAACATGATGTTTCTGTCAGAAGTTGATATAAGAAAATCTTCACATTCTGTTTAGATTATTGTTAAATAATAACAATATTTTCTTACGAATTGACTAAACTGAATATTAGCATCCTCACTTTAAAAAACATATTTTATTTATCTTTTTTGATAAAATGCGAAGATACATACATATATATATATATATATATATATATATATATCAAATATATATATATATATATATATATATATATCAAATATATATATATATATATATATATATATTGTTCTGTATGAAACAATAATGTCCCTCATATCTGAATAAAATTATTAAACGTAAGGGTATATTCAATTTTTTCTGTTTCTTTTCCTTGTCGCATGAGCAAAGCAGAATCTGACGTGGCACCTCGTGATGTTTTGTTTTGAACGACACATCGGCCTGCGAACCAAGTTGATAGCCACTACGGTCTTGGGTCACTGAAGTTGACTCAGCCCCCAGACCATGACCCGCTATATTTGTGGCGCCATGAACACGATCGTCTCGTAATCGAAGCGTTTGAATTTCTCTAGGAATCTCGTTCGAATGAATTTGAATTCGGGGTCATCGTGATTGAGACCTTGTGTACGGTGCCGCGCCTCATCTTATGCTTCGGCTCCATCGCTGAGGCTGTCTCATTTGCAACGCTGATTTCGAGTTGCTTGCGCATTTCTGAATGGCCCTCTGTTGGTCGGCGTCATCACCTTGAGGAGCTTGTTTCGGCGTCTACACTTTTGTGGAGCGTATCATCGAATGCGTGGCCTGTTGGAAGTATGAATTATGATCCTTGATTGATTGCATTAACCATTGAGCGCAGACTTCCAGTTGTATTAGAATTTCTTAGAATTTCTTAGAAAACTTCTTGTAGATAACTGCATCCTTTTGATCTGGTGAAGCTTCAACAACTATGTTTAAGAATGCAGGTGGATTGAGAAACTCTCGGGATAAAGGTTGTGGCGTGAAATCATCCGAGGGTGAGTAGGGAGAGAGTTGAGGAGACAATTATTGAGGTCAAAGCAGTATGGTTTCATTAGGAGATCTGTGCTGAATTTTTATGTCCTTTCAAGTCTTTGTCATTTCTTGTTGAAGTTGTTGAAGCTCGAACGAGTAAGTTTATGCACAATTGGGGAAAGGAGTTCATGCAAACTAATATTAAATACTAAATTGTGATTTAATCAGCAAATTTGACAGCATTGCTTCAGATGCTCATACTAATATGGTTATGCCATTAGAGAATAGATGCCGCATAAATACAGTTGACGGGTGCGATATTCTGCTGTGGACGCTATGTTGATAGATTCCTCGCCTGTGAAACACTCAACACTCGGAGGATGTCGGATTGTAACAAATCGACCGATGAGGACGAAAATGTGGCGAGCAAACTCATGCCCAATGTGGCAAAGCTAATTCATTTCGAATCCGGTTCCTCGGTAATTAGCTCAATGATCTGGATGGTATTTCCTCTAATTGCTTGTATTTAAGTCAAACCCCCGAAATCGTGTCCCAAACTTCACCGTATCTTAATTTCACTTCAGGAATTGAAGGGCAGCACTTCCATGAGTTTATGCGGATCAAACAGCGAGAAAGAGAACGTTGAGATGCATAAGCGAGAATCCCTGCACGGAAATGGCACACACAGTCCGCCACGACGAGCTGAAGACTCGGTTTTCCAAGATGTTGCCAAAAAATTTCTGCGAAGAGCAGTAACAGGAAAACAGTCCCCGTCGAGTCCGTATTACAGGTGCACTCATCAAGACCTTTAACCCTCAAGTCGTAAACCATCCAAGTGTAACTTCTATGCAAAGCACAATTTATCGATTGCATCTACTGAGAGAAAAATTGCAAAAGATTGAATTATAACGATCGTATCTTCCAAGTAGGTCTGTGAGTTTCCAATTTGGACCTTGGAATATGCTTGAGTGATTTGTGTGTTGATTTGCGTATGTCTCGACGTGCTGTGGTTATTAATGCCCTCCTTAACACAAGACTGTTATGCTGAGACAATTACCACGCGTCGAATCAGTTCACCTGCAGCAAGGAGCGCTTACGAGCCCTTCAAGGAAAACGTGAGGCCCAAAGCGCTAACACTGGCCCAGCAAGGCACCGGATTGATGCCTCCGCAGAAAATGGCTATGACGGATGCATCTCATAAAGCTGCCAATGAACTTATGAAAAAGACATCTCGTTCTAAATTTGGATTCGGACAACGGGGATCTGTTAATCCCAGGATACAGGGAGCTGAAAGATACAAATCGAACTTTCTTTCCCTACGTCTCACCCAGCATGGTAAGCACTTTTTATCGTCCCTCCACACGCGACTCTCTTGTTCTGTAACCTCCTTTTTTTCACCAAATTGCCTTTATATCAATTACAATATTTATCTTCGTTTGGTTGTGCAGCTACAAGAGTCGAATTGCCAAGGGCATCTCACGACAGCCATGGCTCGAGGGGATCACGTTACATTTCCGATTTAGCCATGAACAGTAAGGGGCAAAAAGCCAAACTCCTCAGACAGACCGAGCCCGTGAACTTAAGCGAAATTCAAGAAGAATTTGCGAAGTTGGATGCGGAGGCACTTGAAGAAGAGGAGATACCGACCACACATTTGACAAGGATCAGGCCGATCTTGACTTCCAAGACTTTAATGCAGCATGGAGGTGATGTTCTCAGAGAGTAATGTTTACAGTAGAAAAATGTTACTAATTAGGACCTAGAGAGGACTTAGCTATGCGCTACTTCATTCATAAAGACAGAAGAAATCACATCTTCTCTGCTCACATGAACAAAGACAAGGTCAGGGAGGTCTTGCTATTTGCACAGATAAGTCCACATTTTAGGAGACTTCTAGTCGAGTGCGAGCGGTGAAAGTGTTCAAACCAAACAACAAGAATTTTGTAGCGATGGACAAACTCGATGACGTGTGCAGAGTTAAGTGGGGAAAGAGAGGAAATTGAGTAGGAATTGTACGTCCATCCTACCATAACAACACTTGGACATATTTCTGGTCTTGTGTTGCAATGTGCAGATATAAATCGTGGAGAAAATATTGAAGTTCAGAGCGAAGAAAATCTGCCACGTATTGAGCAAGATGGCTCAACATGCCTTTCTTTGAACGAAATACATGACGAAGCCAGGAATGCGGATGCCTCTACTAAACCCTTTGAAAAAGGAGACAAGAGGAATGGGACGACTGGTAGTGATTGTAATGTACAAAAGACTGAAGCTGCTAAAGAAGAAGGTGTTGCATCTTTATCGTTGATTTCTCCAATCAATCCTAATATAGTTGCCCACTCTCGAGGACATCAAAGGTATGCGATAGATTAAGTATCACGTTCGATTTTTTGTTATAAAATGAAAAGGATGGTCAGAAGCTGGCCTGTAATCAGGCCACTGCTCCACTAAGTAACTTAGAAGGGGTGTAAGGACACAAGATTTGTCAAAGAAATCAAGCCGCGAAGTCTTGCGTCGCACCATTTTATTCAATCGTCCTCTACGGTGGTCCTTATGCCAGGACAGTTGGCATAAAATCTCCTCGTCGGATTGAAGTTTCCACGCAAGGAGCCAGCGAGAATGGCACACGCGTGTCGGCAGTTTTGGCAAAGAGTCATGTTGAAGGTACTTGCAATAACTATCTCGAAACTGAATCTGTTTACCACATTCTGCCGTCTATTGGGCTATAAGCTAACTTGAGTATGGATGCTGATTCTAGTAGTCATCCATGATTAGCAGTGAAGCTCAAAAATCAGTGCTTTTTACTTGGCTTTACTGATGTGTGGAATTCCACAATCTTTCCAGAGATGTGATGGGATACACTGCAATTTTTTCAATTTCGGGAATTCTAGTGTATGAGATAATCTAAGTTGCCTTCAGGGCATTCATCAACGAAACCGAATGTGGACCGTTCTAAGAGAATGATGGCACAAGAAGCAAACGCGAATGCTGCTCATCAAGATACTGTCCTTGACCACACAACTTTGCATAGGGATGCAGAGAGTGATCCGCCAAAACTCCATCAGGTTTTGGACAACGAAGATGTCTCTCACATCCCTCTGCAAGAAGAATCTTTTTCCAATAGAGATGTTTCAGCAACACCTCCTCGGAACCCTATGTTGTTGACTGGCGTTCGCTACAGCAGAAAATGGATAAACCCTGACATGAGTCAGCGTCGGTTGACATTTGACAGTGCCAATGAATCTTTCTCAAGAGCCAGCAACTCAAGTGATGACTCATTATCTTCTGTTGAATTTAAGGGAAGGAAAAACTCAGCTGTAAGTATATCTTGCACTTAAAAGGTGTACGTTGTAAAATTCGTATTGCGAAATGTTTGCAAGGGTATATTGAATCACAACTTCTGATTTTTGAGTCTCAGTGCTAAAACACATTTTGTATAAGTTGCTGTGAAGCCGCGTAGTATACTATTCGGAAACAATACGAGATATTTGCGGAGACTGTTAGTAATAATTCAGTCAGACATGCAAAAGAGAGTCGTGCTAACAGATCGTGTCGATTTAGTCAACTTTAGATGCTCTTTGATAGCACTGTTGAAGAGGTAGTAAGAAGATTTGCACCTCATACCATGATTAACACATGAGCGCACTGTGTTAGATCATCTTTCAGACTGATATTCTCAACCATGATATGGATCATGACTTTTGTGCGCATACGACTAATGAATTTCACCATGAGAGTAGGAATTTGATGACAGATGATGTTGCCATTGGTCAAGTAAGCACTCTGAGCCTGACGATAAAAGTTATTAACTTTTCACATACTGTACGTGTTCACTGTTGACACTTCGAGATTTCTTTTCATGAAATCCCCTTGTTAGCGAGCATCTTGGAAACAAGCGCATTGATGGGGCACCATCTTGCTAATCATTCAATGTGGCTGTTTCTTCTTGCAGCATTTTCAGGCTGAGGAGCTTAGTCACGAAATCATCATTGATTTGAAATGTGCTGCAGAGAGACCTTCTGGTGATGCTGAGTTGAATGGTAAGGTGAATACTCACTGTCTTCTCAATCCATTCAATTATCGGTTTTTCTTGCCTAACCTATCCAATTAACCGTCACACTGTTGTCCATCAAGCCTGTGCCCATGTGACACAGGCAATCGCTTACTCTACAGGACAAGCAAATCAAAATGGAGAAATATGTTGGCTACCCGACGATCCCTCAGGAGCGAACATTTGTTTTGTGAAAGTTCGGAAATTAACTTTCGACTGTCATGTCTTCGTAGCACTCAAGGATGGAACACGCTTGACGTATTCTTGGATATTGTTGGTATATTCAGGTGGATGGCACGGACTCTGTAAGCTGCTCTTCAAAGCCAAAAACTGGAGTGCAATCGGAAGGTATCAGTGAGAGCCAGTTGTCTTCGTCCTCGTCAAAATGAAAATGTTATCATCAGCAACCCTCGCTGATTCATTCCGACCTTATTAAAAGTAATCACAATACAAGTGACATGTTCTGAGGGTAGTGAGGAATGCTTGGCCCGAACGTGATGCAGGTGGAGCTGAAAGAGAGGCTTTGCCAACACATTCACAAATACGAGGCAAACCACCAGATATTGAGGTAAAATTGAATCATCTGAAATCTAGGTTTGCCATTGCTACGAAATTGTAGAATTCAGCTTCTAAAGATTTTAATACTAGCGTAATGTCCTTAAGGCTCTCTTGCTTGAACTCCAACAGGCTGCCGATGTCGAAAAAGATCCATATATCTTCACTCTCAGTCCCCAGGCTAAGCCGGCAGCTGGATGCAAGAAAATTCGTGGATTGGGGAAGCGAACGTGGGCCAATCTTGGCACTCCCATTGGTAGGGCTAAAAGCAGAATCTATAAAATGGGAATCATTAGTGAAGAAACTTATTTCGCAAATCTCAACAACAAGCTTGGTGGAAGGTTCTCTTATTGGATTGCCACTTTTCGGTTGTTATCGATCTGAAAGACCAAGGCCAAAACTTGGTTTTAGACCACAAGATACAACTACAATTGTGTTACATTTAATTTTCTGGAACGCTTCAGAGACGATCAATGCACCTGACGCTGGCTTCCTATTGATTTTTAGACGGACGCTAAATCTCGGACATTCCGTTGTTTGTCATACACCAGATGGTGGGAGTGAGTGGAAAGAGGGCCGGAGAGTAAGCACCCGCATCAAATCCAGGCCTCTTAATTGGTGGAGAGGCGAGAAAATGTTGTATGGACGTATTCACAGCAGTACGTTTGTAAACCGAACCAACAGTATCTTTTATGACCTGAAAACTCTGGTAGTGGTGCTTATTGCCAAAAAATCTCAGTACTCGATAGAAGAAGATTTCATTAAGAATTCTTTATCACGTCTTGAATTCTTTTTTGATACCTGTCTAACAGAAAGTAGTTTGCATCATATCACTTGCTTTATAAACAAGAAACTTGAGTGTAGTCGTATCAATAACTTGTTTATAAATCTCTTTTATATTCATGTCAGCAGTGAATGCAACTCAAATTCCATGTGCATTTGAATACGCTTTCCGCTTTACGATGAAGAATTTCTAACAGACATAGCATAGATTACTTACCAACCCATGAGTGGCCCTGAATGTACAGCTTTGTGCACACTGATTGGCATCAAGACCACTTCACCAGATCCTCTTTGGCCAAGACCGAAGCCTCAGCGGGGAGAATATAGTATGAGAAGTTTCCAAGTAGAATCATTTGTAGATGACAGCCATTGCGATTTGTTGCGCCTCGCTGCTCAATAACAGCGACTGATATGAACAAGCGTTAGTCTTCAATACTGTTCTGCCTCACGGATGCAGTCAGCAGGGGCAGGGCACAATTTGACAATGTCCCTGCGTGCAATTCACACGCAAATTACATCGCCAGTAAACTCTCTCGATTACAAGACATTCTCACGATTACTCATCATGTGGTGGGGAAGCGCGTCAACAGACTTGCTCACCATGTCCGTCTTTCTAGACAACATGCACATTGTGAGATCCATTTCAAAGACGATAGTTGAGGAATTTCTTCTCATCAAGTTCTTGACTAGAAACGAAATCACTTTCTAAGGGTTAGAAGCTACGTAGAGTCTCACATTACAGTCAATCATGTAGGATGGTTGTGGGATAAACACAGGCAGCAGCAGCAGCAAGAACATCCAATCTAACCCGAAAATTAACACCAGTTTCAAACCCTTGAATTACACAATTTACCGAAAGGGACACACTTTGCACGCATCTCCTCCATCTATCACGTGTACGAAGCCCATGTGGGTGACAATGAAGTCTTCATAGAACAAGGAAGGGAAGATTGGATGCGAGGCAAACAACGCAAACAACGTAAAGAAGGGACACAAACAAGCCTGATCGTAGGACAAAATTTTCGTATTGCGTCATTACTGAGAGAATCAATTAAACGTCTCCAAAACAGATCAACAAAAAAATCAGTTCTTAAGGGGGCACAAGTTCCCAGCAGTCCACCATCAGTCAAGCCAGCTCCTTACCTTTCCAACGCCGAAAGCTTGACCACAACCCACTTCTTATTGGGCCACAATCCAATGCCATGTCAAACTTTTGTTTGATTAGCAAAAAAGTAAATGTTCCAAAAACACATCACATCACACCAACTCTCGAGTTCGCTTTCAAGAGCACTTTATTTTATATTTTTATCATTTCTTTGTGGAAAAATTCGTCTCACAAATGAGAAACTCCGTCAGATTTTGACATGGCAAGCTGGTAGAGCACATTGAAGGGACGGAAAATTCCAACCCATGTCGCCAAGTGGTACAATTCTGAGAGACGAGGGAGGAGAATAAAATTTGACTTGAGCGACCAGGATTGGAATTCCACACCTAATTCCTCACGCACATGATCCAGCAGGCAAGCAATGCCGCCATGGCACGCCGACCTTGTCGAAGCTAAACCCACCGCGCGGAGGCGGGGCCCAGCACGGCGACGAGGAGGAGGGAGGAGCGGGAGGGAGAGCAGGAGCAGGCGGAGGACGTGTGCATCACGACACATCTGCAAACGCACGACTCGCTCCTCCCTCACCTCTCTGCGGATTCTTCATCTTCTTTTCCTCTGCCTCGCCATCCCCACTTCCTTCTCTTCCTTCACTTCCCCATCCATCCAGCACGATTTAATGACCCCAATCTGGCGTCGGGGGAAATCACGCCGCAACCGCGGAGTCTGACAGCATCCCGGCATTGTGAGCTTGTGGGCCCCGACGTCGACGCAGATGGCGCTTGGCGATGTGGGAGAATCCGATGCCCAGTGCTCTCCTGGTTCCTCGGCGCCTCTAAATCGCTGCTCACTTCCCCACTTCTCGTTGTTGGTGCCTCGCCGGAGCTTCAACGTCCCAGAGGCATCATCGTCTTCTCGTCGCATGTCCCCAACTTCAATTTGAAATTTAAATCTTCACCTCGCAATTACTGCAACCCTTCGTGACGACGATTTCCATGTGACAATTAGGATTTTTAGGAGCGATTGTTGTGATGAATGTAAAGCTTCAGATGAACTTTGCTTTTGTTTCTATGTTGTTTAAAATACACAATGTAATGTTGCAATTAATGCAATCTACATTAATGAGGATAAAAGACAAAATGCAACGATGTAATATTAGAATGTAACATATCATGTTGGTTGGAGGCATAAACCTTAATTTGGAAAATTACAAAAATAACATTAATGTAAATCATGAGAAGAAATGGAATAGTTAAATAGTGTTTTGATATTTAAATCAATATTTTCATTCAAGTATAAATAATAAATTTGAGATAATATTTTAATAATAAATTATTTATATAATTATATTTTAATTAACTAGTTTTTATTTATTTGTTTATTTTTTATGTTGTTTGAAGTTTGTATAGAATATAAGATAGTTTAAAAAATATTTTAGATTATTTTAAAACAATCAATTACAAATGACATCTATATTTTAAAAATATATCTATATATTTAAAATAACACTCCCATATTGTTAATGCAACACTCCATGTGTATATAGTAAGGGGATGAGAGTCAAGGACATAAATCTCAAAGAAAGAAAATCTTAATATACTCTTGTATCATTCAAAAATACTAGAAAATCACTCAAAGATGATAATATATTGAATTAGAATAGCAATTGCCAAAGACAAGAAGACTAGATAGTCTTGAAACAAGACTAACAACCAAAAAGGCATTTACAAGAATAAAGAAGATTTTATTCTTATTCCATATATACTATCTAATTAGAATATACATAACAATGTTTTTTAAGACCTCCAACACATGTTGACTTTGCTTAACACATGTCTTAACTTACAAGGAAAATTTTCTATATGTGCACGACACAATTAGCTTGTTCCACAAGCTACCAATATGTATGACATGTGGTTAACTTGTTGACTAAGTTTCTAACCTATCAATAAATTATAAACATATGTAAAGTCAAAATCGTGTCTATAAAGCTTCTAAGAAGCTTCTCTAAAAAATATTATGAAATTAATTAACATTTATTTATTTCTATTTAATCATGTAGATAGTTATTTGATTAAATACATATATTTGTGATAGTAGTCTTTTTAGAAATGAATTCTAAGAAGAGTGGTTATCATCTTTCATGGATTTTTTTATTTTATTTTATTTTATCTTTTTAATCTTGATTTTTATGGATATTATTGATAAAAAGCTTCAATCTTCTTTGTTGCATTTGCAAGATTTTTTCTGACTCTCATGTATATTCATTAGTATCATATCCACTCCAATGAAGAAGATATTCTAATCTATTTCTATATCAACTTGAGTTTAAGAGTTCTTCCATCTCAAACTCTTCATTATTATCTACTTCTATAGGAGGAGGTGGCATTTGTTTTCTTCTTGAGATATTTATTGTCTTATATGCCTCAAAAAGAGGCATGTGGAATACAAGATGGATCTTTATAGACTCTAATAGATGTAATCAATAAGGAACAAGATTGACTTATTCACAAATAAAAAAAAGTCTAAGCTTACAATAGTCTAACTTGTCATAAGAACAAATAGTCTTAATATTGTTACAAAGTAATCAAATCTTGTTATCCATGTTGAATTGTAGTTGTTTCTTGCAATAGGCATTTGCATTAATTTTTTGTTGTTCTTGAGCTTTTTTTAATTATGTCTTTATTGTTGCATGTAACTTTGACAAACAATTTGCCAAATCTTCTACCATAGAATTATCAATATTTAAAAATTTAAAAGTATCAAGTTGTAGATGATAACCATAATTGGAAAAGAAAAGGTGTTTATTGAATAGAAAAATATACCAAATTATTGTTTGCAAACTTTGCCAATAGCAAAATAATTGTTTAATCATTTTGATGATGGTTGATGGTACACCTCAACTACTGCTCCAAAACTTGATTCATCCATTTTGATTGCCCATCAGTTTCAGAATAAAAAATAAAAATAAACTTTATATTTACTTTTAAAATCTTAAAAAATATTTTTAAAAATATTGATACAAATTGAGTTCTCGTATCTAATATAATATCTTTGGGCAATCCATGACAATGTTAGATATTATTAAGAAAAAACTTAGGCATTTCTTTACTTGTGATAGATTTTATATTTAATACAAAATATGCCATTTTGATAAAGTAACCTATTATTACAAATATAAAATCATATAAACTTAAGATTGGAAGATCTATAATAAAATCTATAGAAATAAAAGACCATGGCTGTTTTAAAATAAGTAATGGCTCAAAAATTCTATAAAATTAATGATAAGGAGTTTTTAATCTTGAATAAATATCACATGATTTTACAAAGTCTTTTATTACTTTCCACATTTGAGGCCACCAAAAATCTTTAGATATTAGCTCCAAAGTCTTATTATATCCAAAATGTCTTTCCACTAGATTATTGTGATATGCTTAAAGAATATATAAACATATCTCTCCTACTAAAATATATATGCGATTTTTGAAATAGAGTAGATTATTCTTCGATTCAAACTTAGAAGTATCATGAGACTTGAAAGAAATATTCTTAATATTATAAATAAGTAGATCATAGGACATATTTGATTGAATTTGCTTAATAAAAGTTGAATCAACAGTCAATGTTGATTTTATTATTCAAAGTTAAAAATGATCTAATTTCAAGAAAATTATTTTTTATTGATCAAAAGATGCATCTTTTTTTTTTGATAGAAGATAAATTTTTTTATAAAGAAAATCTAATAAGCCATGTTATTTTCCAAGTTGAGAAGTAATTATAAAATAAAAACTTAATAAAGACATGTTCTAATAGGCTTGGTGACGATTTAAAACATATACCAACATGAAATACTCAAGGTTCTTGTCATTTGTATATATGGTGTTGTATTGTAACATGACTATATGGTGAAAATATAATCAAAAATAAAATTTTAATTAATATTTAATCATCTTGATTCAATAATAATTCAAGATATTTAAATATGGCTTTCATAAAAGCCTCTTAGTTTTCTTTTCTTATCTTAATAGCTACTAGATTAAAGATTGGTTAATAATTTTATCTATTAGGTTGTAGAAACTCTTTTATAGCTTTAAAGAGGCTATAAATTGATAAAATCAAATTAAAAGAAATAAATAATTAACACGTTTTATACTAGAGTTAAGTTGAAGATAAGTTTGGACTAAAAAATCCTAGGATAGATTAGATTGATACTCAAGGGTCAATTATTTGTAGAACTCGGTTGAAATCAGACTTCTAGCTACTAAAATGACTGCCTAGGACTAAATAGGGAGGCATTTAAAGATTGACAATTAAGATTGATGAGCTAACTTTAGGTTGATTCTAGAAATGTAAGACTTATTTTTACAAGTTTTGGAATGAATTTG